CCATAAGTGGTACACCTTAAGCCTTAAACCATAAGTATTAATCTATAAGCAATATGTTATAAGCATTAACCAAACCCTAAACCATTAACCAAAAGTTACAAGTGTGGTCCAAAATGGGTTTGGCTTGCAAGGATGGTCTAATAGTTTCGTTTTGTTGCGAGTTTAGTCCAATGGCTTGTACACTTATTCCCACAAGCTCATAACTTCTCATGTATGAATTGGGGTTTTAGAGTTATATATGTCTTAAGGTTTATGACTTAGGGCTTCGCTTTAATTTATTTAATATTTCCATTTTTTTTCATCCAAAATGAATAGTCACAAAATACATCCTTTGTATCATAATATTGCATTGGTCTCAAAGAAACTCATACACACATACATGTACACACACACACACACACAATATATATATATATATATATATATATATATATATATACACACACACACACACATATATATATATATATATATATATATATATATATATATATATATATATATATATATATAGGGAAAAGTGAATATACATTACAGCCCCACCTAAACTTGGGTACTAAACCTCATGAAAATACGTTGTTTTACTATATAAAGATTGCGATTATGGATTCATGAGTAACACTTGAAGATGTAGATTCATGATGTACACAATAGTTTTGATAAACAAGAAATAACATTGATTATCTTCGACCTTCGTGACGATGGAAAACAATATTGTTCACTAGGGTGAAGTAATAAACGATAAAGGAGGAAAGAAAACAAGAATGGTAAAACGATAATGGAGGGAAGAAATGTTATTGGGGATGATATATTTACCAAATGAAAACCAAATTGAATATAATTACTAAGTTAAAACGACATATTTTAAAGGTTTAGTACCTAAGCTTAGGTAGGGCTGTAATGTATATTCCCTATCCCCATATATATATATATATATATATATATATATATATATATATATATATTCTAAACTACTTTAAATTTCTCATTAAAATTTTAGTTTGAGTTTCCCGGTATAATTTCACTCTTCTCACAAAAAATTAAAAGTCCTGATTATATTTCCCACATAAAAGTTGGCTCTAACATTCCAATCAGTTCGTCGGCCTCTCCATACAGATCACTCGTCGCCGACATCTCCACCATACGATATCCTGATTGCTAGCACCTCTCTGTGACTCATCTCCCACCACTTCTCGCCTTATTGCAACCTGCATGTCTCTAAATATCAAAGCCATATACTACCTCTCATGCTCGTGTTCCCCTTTGCGGATACTGATGGCCGACTCCACCTTCCTCACCAACGATTGATGTTTCTCGTACTCACCCTACATGACGCCCATCGCCCTCACCTTCACCAGATGCCCCGTTACCCTGCCTCCTACCTTTTTCACATACCTCTCCTTCAAGAACCATAACTGTTCAAAACCGGATTGAAGCAATAGATTGCAATCGATATGTATATATTTGATTATTATAGACACTGTATTCACAGAATCACAATCACTGTCTCATTGCATCCTCGGTTCCTGTCTCTTCACGCAACCATTCGCAAATCGCTTTTCTCTTCCTGCTTCTGTATCACTACGCCACCATAGCCCCACATCACAGTGACACCTGCCCCCAATTACAGTGGTGTAGCCACCATAGCAGCGGCACCAGGTACCACCTCCACCATTGCATTAGCTACAAGTTATTGTTTCTTTTCTTTCAAACTTTTCGTTGTGTTTTCTTGCTATTAGTCAATAGTTCAGTTTGTATTTGGATTATATCCATAATTGGGATGCTGAAAGTTGTGTTTTCTTTCTTTCTTTCCTTTCAGACTTACCATTTGTCGCCTCTCCATTTCAGGTATTCTTCTTGTTCTTAAGGTCTCTCTCTGTTTTTGTTTTGTTTGTATCTATGTGACCTCTTCTCTATTTTTGAGTCTCATTGTTGCGATTTGAAGGGGCTAAAACGTAGATAGGAACCTATGACAAGTTATGCTTGGTCTAATGGGATAGACTTGATACTTAGATTATTATAAAAAAAACAATAGTTGCAAATTATTATTAGAATCTGGAATGATGTGTTTGATTGTAGAATTTCTTTACATGTAGTTAGCATATAGGAATTTTCTTAGAGAGGTCAAAAGCAATATGGTTTGGGAGAGATATACTTGGAAGGAAAAGCCTTCTTTTTTATTGGCCAAGTACAAAAGAGCCCTGATTCACGGTTTCTTCTGAATCAGCACCTGCAATTTGATGAACTGCATTGTTAGGAAGAACTACATGTAGGGCCTATAACCTGTCTATGAATTCACCAATAAAGGATGATAATCTGATGGGTGAAGTCAAAAGGCATAATTGAGCGGACCCATTGCTGGAAACTCATTGAGTGGGATAAAACTTTTTTTGAACCCAAACCTAAAGATTTTACCAAATATCTTTTTACCATATTATACCATCAAACTTTTCTGGTGTAATATTGTCATAACACAAAGTTAATTTTTCAGTTTTTTACTGTAATGGTAGATGGCATGTTATAACATAAACTGTATATTATAGCAATGTACTTTTGTTATGCAATGTTAGACAAAGTTGTATTCTTTTCATTTATTTATCATACTTTTCTGTTAAAGAAAGTTGTATTCTTTTCATTTTTTAATGTTGTATGATTTGGTGCAATTAAAAGAATAGATGACAAAAATGGCAATTTAGTCTTTTCTTATAGCTGTTATTCAATACAACTATATTGTTATTTGTTTTTGTTTTTATTATTTTTATTATTTTTTTGGGTTTTTTCAGAAATTGTTTCTGTTGAGGTAACTTTACAAAACTGTCATTCAATTTTTTTCATTAATTTATACAACCCTTTAATTACAAATAAAGCAATGTAATTTTGTAAAATGGCATGATTGACCTTTTTGTTCATTTTTAATTCTGTCAAATGATATCAAAGAAAAAAATGGTCAAATTTACGAGTCGTCCAAAAAGTCTAAAATTGTCATTTTTTGTATAATAACTTAATCAGGAAACAATTTCAGTTTTACAACAACAAATTTTCATTTTATGAAGACTATTCTTTAAACTTACAAATACAATAGTACAACCAAAATGAACATCACATAAATATAGTACATATTCAATAAACAACTCATAATTATACCGATAAGACATTATTGTTCTTTTATAACTATATTTACATATAGACACATATAATAACTATAATCATAACTAAATGCTACCTACACTCACAATATTTGTTTCTTCTCAAAGTCAATTCATCATATTTTGACACACCTAATAAAAGGTAAATGACCATAAACAACAATACTAACTTGTTTTCTTGCATTTACTAAGTACAACTAGTACAGAACCGCCCTATGGACACATAAATATTTAGTGTGACCATATGTATCACCTTTTAGCTATTTTGTCTGGTATGTGTCTAAAAAGTCACCAGGTTATAAACACACATACAATTGCCTCATGTCACGATACGTTTATATATTGTCTCTTATAAAAAAGGTATGACAATGATAATCGATACATGTGGCTGATTGTGACCTATGACCTCAGTGTTGGAGTGTGACTAATATTTGTCATATTTGGTATAATTAAGTGTGGTTAAAGTTTTGATTATCTATATAATGGCCACAAAAACTAATTTAAATGTATCCAAAAACAGTCTCTAAATTTTTTTAGTGACATTTGGCCACACTTTTAATAAATAGTGTCACAAACCATTTATCGGAAAGTGTGACCGTAAGTCATTTTTGTACTAGTGAATATGTGTTTATAAAAAATATATAAATATGTTTTTATAAAAGAAATATATACAAACACTTATTTGGGTGCATATAAATATGTTTTAACAAAATATAGTTATAATAAAATAAATGTTTGTACACATTTTTTTCTTTTAAAATACATTTTGTATATATATATATATATATATATATATATATATATATATATATATATATATATATATATATATATATATATGAAAATGGATTTGTACATATATTTGTGTACTTAATAAATACCTATTTTTTTAAATAGGTATTTTGTATACAGAAAAGTTTTTTTTTAAATAAATTATTTTTGTTGAAAATATAAGATTTTTTATGTAAAAATATGTTTTTTTCTGTATAAATATGATTTTATAAAGAAAAAACATATTCAATTTTTTTTTGAGAAAAAATGTTGTATAAAAAACTAAAGTTCTGATGAATTTATAACAAAATTTTGATATTTGGGTCAAAAAGGTAATTTTGGACCAAATTTATAATAAAATTTAAAATTTTGGCAAAAATATAAATTTTGGATCGAATTTGTAAAAAAAAGTTAAAATATGGGCCAAAAATGTAGTTTTTAAAAGTTGGATGACCTGTTAACCGGATAAAATTGTCAAATTGAATACCATTAGTAATTTTTAGGACTTAATTGAATAAAATGAAATATAAAGAGTAAATCAATTTTGAGATTAATATGTAAGAATTTTTTGCAGTTTTTCATTTAATTAAGTTTTAAATCTGTATTGAGCTTGTATGATAGTCGTGGTAACGAGCCTAATTTTGGTATATATTTGTGATTAAACGACAAGGGATAGCATACAGGAAATATTATGTTTAGCAAAAACGACGTTCAAGAACAAGTCTATTGATACCTACGAGAAACTAATCACATGTAAATTTAAAACCTCAGTCATAAAATATTAATATTATATTTTAATCATTAAACAAGTATTATTTTAGATGAAGTTTCCAACAAACTGATATTTTCCATTTAAAAGTAGATTTTTTTTATTGATCCACGTGAATGGACCAATCATACTCAACACTCTTTTGTTTTATTTGCAATATGTCCACCCACAAGGCCACAATGGTCACGCACTATGTAATTAAAGCGCAAATGTTTCTTTCCTACGCATAGTTCCAAAATCTAAATACATATTATAATAATAACTTATAGTATATTATACATCAAGATGCATACGGTTTTTCGGGACTTGTCTTAATCAAGACTTCCTCAACTTCTCTAAAGTGATATAACCTTACCAGTTCATTTCTTCAACACCTAAGACACAAGAATGGCACCATGGATATTTCTCATGTTCCATTCATTACTATTTTTGCAATCGGCTCCATCGTCTTTTGCAAAGTTTCCATATAGGCACTTCCCTTCATCGATCATACGCCCTGAAACACCATCTCTCTCAAGCAACAACAAGATTTACAAAGCAAAATACTTTACTCAAATCCTTGATCACTTCAATTACAATCCACAAAGTTACCAAACCTTCCAACAACGGTATCTGATCAATGACACTTCTTGGGGTGGCCCCAAAAGCAAAGCACCAATCTTTGTGTACACCGGGAATGAAGGAAATATCGAATGGTTTGCTGAGAACACTGGCTTCATGTATGATATCGCCCCTAAGTTCAAGGCTCTTCTCGTTTTCATTGAGGTAATCAGGTTCATCACGCTAATCCATTTTCTTGAAAAAGTAGATCCTTAGTGTTTCTTATTTGTAAATGTGCAAGTAATTATAGCATAGGTACTATGGAAAATCGATACCATATGGAGGTGATAGGAAGAAAGCGTACAAGAACTCAAAACGTTTGGGATACTTGAGCTCCACACAAGCATTGGCTGATTATGCTACACTCATCCTTGATCTCAAGAAAAATATGACAGCCATGGATTCTCCGGTTATCGTCTTTGGAGGTTCCTATGGTGGAAGTATGATTTCTTTTCTTTTATTTTATCTTATTTTAAATATTCTTATTGTCATATTTAGAAAAAAAAATGAATAATTAAAGGTTTAACGGGTTTCTTTTTGTTATGTAGTGTTGGCTGCATGGTTTAGGCTAAAGTATCCACATGTGGCCATTGGGGCATTGTCATCTTCTGCACCAATCCTTCAATTCGAGAACATTACATCTCAATATTCTTTCAACAATATTATTACCCAAGACTTTAAGGTACCTATTTTTCATGCATTATTGGCATGTAGAACCTTGTTATAAAAGAAAAAAGAAATATGCATATTAATCATATAAAATCATAGAGTGAGAGCGAAAATTGTTACAAAGTAATAAAAGGATCGTGGAAACAAATCGAGGATACTGCTAGTTCACATGGGGGACTCGAATTGCTTCAAAAATCCTTTCATATATGCAAGTAAGATGGTATTTTCCATGAGTTAATTAAGTTATTTATTATATGAAATTATAAGCTTGAGATTAGTTAAATTTCAGATAATTTTGTGATGCAGAAATTATATTAGCGGAGGTTATCTAGAAGGGTGGCTTGAGACGGCATTTACTTATGCATCAATGACGGATTATCCAACACCGTCAGATTTTCTTGCTCCATTGCCCGCTTTCCCTGTCAAACAGGTATTAAAATTGATTTGATATATAATTTAAAAATAAAGCTTTTTATTAGTTATTAAATATATAAATTACTTTTTAATGAGATAAAGTTTAGAAACGTCTGGACATACAATCAAATTTATCTGCATTTTTAACTATTGCTAACAAAGAAATAGATAATTTGCAAGGATTTTTTTATAAGCCATTTTTATGGAACGGTAAAAATGAAGAGTATTGCATATTTCATGAATAAATAAGTATTCAAGGATTTCAATAATAATACTTATTTATTATATATGTATTTATATTTTCATGATCATATTACTTTTTAATTTTTATTTTGATCATAATCAGCATAATTAATCTAGAACATAGAAATATGATGAATAACTGAATGCAAGAAAACTGTTAGTCATTTCATTTATTAGTAATAAATTATATCTAGATAAGTTGATTAAAAAGATAAAAATGCAATCTATTTTATTAATTATATATCCGATCCATTTTGTTTATTAGTCATAATTTATTAAATAATAAAGTTAACGAATAATGAACTTGTGACCCTATCTAATACAAACAAATCTAACCAAAAAATAGCATGCCATGACCTATCGCAAATTTGGGAATATGCGCAAAGTATTATTTACATTTAGTTTTCTATTTATTTAGTTTTTTATAAAAACTGTTAATAACATACATTTATAACAAAATTAAATAGCACTTTGATATTTCTCTGGTCCGCCCCAAAGGGTGGGAGATGGTGGACGGCGGTTCTTGACCCGTCTTTTAAAAGGGACAAAATCTTTTATGGATTTTATTATATATAATCGAAAATGTTATATTTAGAAGCTACTGCAACTAATATATATTTTTTTAATTATTGAATTAATATAAAAAAAAATTGATGAAATTTGTGTATTTTAAGGGCATTGTTTTCCCTCATGCCTCAGACCCAAAATTTGTTCGGAACAATACATATATTTCGTTTTGTTATATGTTACAATGTCTGGTATGTCTTAATAATATCGTTCATCATTCTTGCTGTTAAATCTAAGGCTAAAGTGAATGGTAACATCTTTAGCAAACTGTCACATCCGATTTTTTGATGTGACATTAGATTCTTTAAAGTCACATAGGCTAGAAAAATAAAATAAAAGAAAAATGAAAAATGAAAAATGTAACATCCCAAAAATCATGGTAAATTTTTTCAGTTTTTTGAAACCAATCAAAAACCACAAGTGTTTACAAAACATAATTTCCAAAAGTCATAAACATGAATCAAAGTATCCCATAATTATAATCTCATAGAAATCCATGATGATGTGCACGATCAAAAGCCTTCGCCTTGCCCTTGTCCTCTGAAGTACCTGAAACCACAAGTTCAAACTGTAAGCCAAAGCTTAGTGTGTTCCTCCAAAGTACCACACACAACCAAACAGATAATAGCATGCATGTGTGAGCCTTCAACATGACCGGTCCGCCTCGTAGGGCCTACAGCCGATCCAGACTGCTCTCCGGGCCTTCGGCTTGATTGGACCGCCTCGCAGGGCCTACAACCTATCCGGACCGCCCCGAGTATCTTGGCCTTCAACAGAAAGCAGGACCGCCTCAACCCAACCAACCATAAGATGTCGACATATACAATAACAATCAAGAACCAGCAAGAATAGGTAATTATACAGATCTACCAGTTTAACACATAACCAGAACATAGGTAATCATTCAGAACTACCAGTCTATCATATAACCAACATAACATTATCTAATGTACCAGGATACATAATCCAGTGGGCCAACATTGGTGCCTTTGACCTACAAGTACAATGATGAAAACTCACCTCAATGCATGATTCCATACTCAAAATAAGCTCTAAAAAGCATAGCTTTTATGGACATGCATATCTCTTCCAATTTAGGTCAAAAACATAACAATAAAGGCTTAAACTTGAGCATGGAACCAAAAACTACATAGATCCTCAGATCTGGAACATATAACACTAGAATGATCACATGGATCCATAAAGTTGCCAACTTTATGAGGTTCAACCATCCAAATTCCCACACCAATAAGATTTTGGGACAAAAGGGCTATATCTAAATGTAAATAACATAAAGGTTGGATCTTGGGGACTTACAATGGTCTAGAAACATGCTCAAGGTTGGTGAAAAGATTTGCATGCTGGAACCAAGCTAAAAGATGTCTTCTTTTTCTTCAAAATACCACCGAAACACACAAGAACTCAAAGATTAGCAATGGAGGATAGGGTTTCCTTTTGGACGCTAAGGGAGAGTGAACAAAGCTGAGGGTGGGCAACCATAGCCATCATATTCCTTAAATAGGGGCTCAAACCCTAGGATTAATGTTTTTCATTAAACAATGGCCATGTTGTGGCGATATATGCCATGTCGTGGTGTCAACTTAAGGACCACGAAAACTATTTCCTTGGCCACACCATTGGATTCCATCACCACCTCGTGGCCACCAAAAATTCAACTTAAATTTATTAAATTTACTTAAAAATGAACATACCCGAAATTTGGCGTTACAAAAAAAAAAGAAACAGTCAATGACAACCTTCTTCCATTCTCTTTCTCTTCTCTTTCCTCTCGCTACCCAGATGGCGAGCCAGGCTTGGCGATCCAGACGAGTTACTGGCGAGGGCTACTCCCTCCAGCTTAAATATAAAGTTGTTAAGTGACGTAAAATGACATTTTTAATATTTCTTTTTAATTGTTTCCATATTTATTTTAAATCAAATAAATACTTATAACCTACAACAATAAGACCTGTAACTCCATTCATCCCTTTTTCTCCCACTTCCATGCTCTTTTTTATGCTTTCATAGAGTATCACCCCACACCTCACCGCCTACTTTCCCTCCCCTTTCTCCAACCTCGTTGTCGTGGTCTCTGGCAACTATAACGCTTAATCCTATCGATCTTAGTCTAATATTTGATCTCACTAAAATTACACACAATCAGGGTATTGCCCCTACTCTATCTAAGACTTTGATTTTTTACTTTCAGCTCTGTGACTGACTCCCTCCCTCTTCCTTCGATACCTCGACGAATGAAATTGATTTATTGCCTACACCCACCGAAAATTGATTTCTCCATCTTTATTCAATGACAAACGAAATCATTTTTTGCGTCTTACCTTTATCACATAGTCCTATCTTTCTGCATTGCTTATTAGACTACTGTTATCTATCATTAACATATTTTTTCGTTTTTCTCTCGAATCGGTCACCACTACCCATCAAGTGCTCTTAAGGTAAAAAAATTGTGGGGGTTTTGTTTTTCTTGTTTTCATCGACATCCCTCTCTATCTTGTGATTTTTTTCCTATGCATGATACTCATAAACTTGTTCTTGGATTGTTCATAAATTGGAAGAAAAAAGGTTTAAATGGCATCAAAATATTAGAGTTCGTGAACCTTAAATATAGTTTCTTAATCCCTTTTTCTTTATGGGAACGTAGATTATAAATATGAGCTTATCCGTTTAGGAGTAATTGTTTAGTTTTTCACTTGCAGTGACCATATTTGCAAATGTGTATGGGTCTCAACCACCATGGGAAAAACACAAACTTTGGTATGATCTTATGGCCATTAAGAATAGAATTTTTGGTACATAGATTGTATTTGGAGACTTTAATGTTGATAGGTGAGCTAAATAAGAGGGTCAATTCCCAATTTTGTCATGCTAGTACCAATGGTTTTAATCAATTCACACAGGAGGATGTTCTTGTTGACCTTCGAATGGGTGGACACAAATACACATTCTTTTGTCATGACGATTTGAAGTTAAGTAAGTTGGGAAGATTCCTCGTCTGGTCAAACTTCACGAACACCAGTCCATCAATATTTGTTACGACACTACCCCGTGAAGTGTTAGGTCACTGCCCTTTTTTGTTGTCCACCAGTGTAATAGACTTTGGCCTTGGTCCCTTTCTTTTCTTTAAGGGGTAAGGTGTTGCTGTTGAAATTCCTAAAGAATGAGATCAATAATTGGAGGGCACTAGACTATCCTAAAGAAATAACGGATCTTAAAAAACTCAAGAGTAGGGTAGATGACATCGACACACTAGTTGAATCCAGAGATCTAACTAAGATGGATATATAAGAACGGAGAGACGAAATTAAGCAAATAATCGAGTTGGAAAATGTGGTTGTCTTAGATTTGAAATAGAAATCTCGAATGAAGTGGGTCGTAGATGGGGACGAGAACTCAAGATTTTTTTGCGAATACATCAACGACAAGCAACGAAAAAAACAGATCTAGGGTCTTATGATAGATGAACACTGGAACACTGATGCTAAACTGATTAAAAGGAGGCATTTGGATTTTTTTGAAAAAAGTTTAAATAACAGTGGCCCTCACGTCCCAAGATAATCAGTGATAAGTTCAAAATCTTGACTCCAAACAATAGCTCAAATTGAAGAGTCCTTTTTCGCGTGAGGAGATCAAAACGACAATCTAGGCATGTGGTAACAAGAAGGTGGCGGGGCCGGATGGCTTCACATTTAAATTCCTAAAATAATATTGGGGCGTGGTTGAGGAGGACGTTTTATCTCTCGTTAAGAACTTCGAAAACCACAGGAGATTCTCTAGAGGATGCAACTCATGATTCATTACTCTAGCCCTAAAAAAATCATAGATCCACTTAAGCTGAGCAATTTCTGTCCTAGCAATTTGATCGTTTGTATTTATAAGATCATCGCGAAGGTCCTTGCCACGAGATCAAAAGTAGTTGTTGGAAAAAAAAACATTGATGAAGTACAATACGAATATGTTCAAGGGAGAAACATTCTAGACGGTCCTCCGGTTGTAAACAAAATCTATTTGTGGGCGAAAAAGGTATAATTATTCAAAGTTGACTAGGCCTGGCAATCGAGGTTGGGTTTGAGTTGATGGGTCATGGGTTGGCGGGTCAGAAAACATAAACTCAACCCAACCCATATAATATATGGGTTGGCGGGTCACAGGTTGACAGGTTGAAAATCTCAACCCAACCCAACCCATATAACCAGTTAAAGTATATAGGTTCACGAGTTCACATGTTACTGGGTCGAACCCAACCCGCATAACCCGTTTAATAAATAAGCAACACATTGTCAAAACATGAGGTTTTTTCAACATAAATTCATAGAGTGATTAAAGTCATTAAAATCAAAAAAGAGGTTTCCAACATAAAGTCATAAAGTCATTAACATCCAAATAAAATAGAAAAATAAGCAAGTGAGCGAGAGTGATCGATTTGTGTGTTTTTTGACTTTTCTCCCGTTGGTTGGTGGTGTGTGAACTGAGTAGCCGACGAGTAGACGACATGTAGTTGAGGGATAGTAGGCAATCAGAGAATCGGCCATGAGCGGGTGAAGGGGTGAGGACGTGAGGAGCGGCCGTCGGCTAGTGGTGGTCTGGTGGATGCGTTCTTCGTTCGTGACTCATGAGTATCTCAAAATGTTGACATGTGTGTTTTCTTTTTTGATTAGGGGACCGCAAATGCCAACTAGCCACATACGAATACGGAAGGAATACAATGATACAGAATATTACAAATATGGAAGGAAATCAGATTTCATTAATAATTAAATATATCTATTTTTTTAAATGTAAAATATATATACGGGTTGGTGGGTTGACCCGCGAACCTAAACATGTAAAACAGGTTGGCAGGTTAACGGGTTGGTGGGTTGGCGGGTCATAAATCTCAACTCAAACCCGTTTATTTTTGGGTTGGGCCAGTGTCGAGTTACGGGTTGGATCGAGAGTTGCCACCCCTAAAGTTGATTTTAAAAAGGCATTTGACTTCTTTAATTGGGAGTACATCGATATGATCCTTTCGCAGATGGGATATGGTATCATATGGAGAAAGTGGATTTATGGATGTCTTGCATCCTTGATGGCGTCGGTTATAGTCAATGACACACCAACGGGTGATTCCTCGATCTTAAAGGGTGTTAGGAAAGGGGACCCACTCTTCCCCTTCCTATATAAAATTTCCATGGAGGGTCTCAACGTTGCGATGAAGACGACATGTGACAAAGGCATGTTGAAAGGTCTTAAGATCCCAAGGCTTGACTCCAACGTCTCCCCCCTATTCTATGCCCATGATGCACTGTTCATGGGCGAATGGTCAAAGGAAAACATTACGAATCTATTGCGTTTACTTTGATGCTTTAATATATCTTTTGGCCTCAAAGTTAAGTCCATAAGTCAAAGGTATTCAGAGTAGGTGCCACATTCCAAGAAACTTTGCATTGGGTTTCCCCGTTGGGTTGTGAATCAGCCTCGTTACCATTTATTTATTTTGGGGTACCGGTGGGGTGCTAATATGAATCATAAAAAAAAATGGATTCCAGTCATTGATAGATTTCGTTCCAAACTCTCATTATGGGAGGCCAAAACACTCTCTTTCGACGGGCAACTCACACTTCTGAAGGCTATTTTGGGTAATCTCCCAACCTATTATTTCTCACTGTTTGTTGCTCCCAGAGGTGTACTTAACTCTCTTGAGAAGATTAGAAGACAATTTCTATGGGTCAGTTGTGCAATTAGAAAAAAGATCAATTGGGTTTCATGGGAAAGAGTAATTGCTTCAAAAGAGAGTGGTGTAATTGGGGTTGGTTCACTACGCGCTTCAAAGTTATCACTCATAATCAAATGGTGGTGGCGGATCAGACTTGATTTTACAACCATTAGGAGTCGAGGTGTCCACAACTTACAACATAAAACTGAGGAATATTTGACTAAAAAGTCTATTACAGGGGTTAGGAGTAATATCGCTTCTATAAAAAGAGAACTGGGGCAGATGGGTATTCCAACCTGTGAGATAATAAAAAAACAAACAAATGCAGGTGATAAAACTCTATTGTAGTTAGATACTTGGCTGACCAGCAGGCCCTTGAAAAATATATATCTCAATTTATACCAATTAGAACGCTTCAAGAATGCACGGTTAGAGATATATTGAATCTACACGGACCAATATGGGCCTGGTGGTCTCTTCCAATTTCGCCCTTACAGAGCAGTGATGTGAGTTCTCTTGAAGCACTCATGGGTGTGTTCAATTACACATCTCGATTGGATTCTTGGATCTGTCCACTCTCATCAGACGACAACTACATTGCGGATTTGCTCAGAGAAAGAGTTTACCGACCTGTGAAAACATATGGGGGAGCGACAATTAGGTGGTGCAAGGATGTACTCATTAAGGTCAATTGTATTGTTTGGAGTGTCAACCTCAACCGTATTCCGACTACAGTAGTTGTAATCAAATGTGGGGTCATATTGACTCTTGACAGTATGGTCATTGCAGAAGTGGCGAGGAAGAGGGCAAATATTTACATGATGTTGTTTTGCAACAACAGTATGTGAGTGGATCGTCAAATGGTGCTATATTACAATTCCACGGTGCAACGATGTTGGTTATATTCTTAATTTTGCGGCTAAGTGGGGAATTGTCCCAAACAGAGACAAATGCTCACAACTATCTGTCATGGTACGTACTTTTGTGGTGGATATGGAAGGCAAGAAACGACTGGTTGTTTAACAACAGGTCAATCTCTCCTACCAAGGTGGCGGATAATATCAAGTCGATGATATTCACATGGATTAAACCCAGGAGAAACAAATGTGTTTTTAGTTGGATAGATTTGTGTGTTTGCCAATTTCTTTGTCTGTAATTCTATAGAATTGTACTCTTGTCCCCTTATCTAGTTACTTGTCAGGTGTGAGTCTTTGTGTTAATATATATTTGTCGGTTCTAAAAAAACTTGTAATGTTTAAGGTTGGTTTGATCCTACATTGAATGGGAGGAAAGGAAAAGTAGGAGAGGTAAGACATGGCGAGCTTTGTAATATAAGAAAATATTTATAAACAAACAAAAAATATGGCAAAAAAAAGTCATTTTACACACACTTAACGACCCCATAGTCTCATTTAATGGCAAAGGGATGAACATTATATATAATACATACCAACCGAAAAAAATAATCGAACCAAAGTAGTTTATTATGCCAAACCACGTGCACAATTTATACAAATTTGTGTGTGTGTGTTTTTTTTTTTTTTTAATATATATATATTTGTAGGTCAAGGAGTATGAAATATGACCAACCTCAATTCAATAAAATGGATCGTCATAATTTCATAGGTCAAGGAAGATGAAATATGACCAACCTCAATAGCAATAATTGATTGTTATAATTTAATTCACAATTAACATACTTTTATTTATTTATTTCTGTTGTAATGAATTTAATATTATAAAATAATTTAGATTTTTCTATCTATACCTGTATTTTATTTCTAAAATAAAACCCTTATTTTTCCAATTTCAACATTTTTTTAGCATGTTTAACAAAATTCAGAAATAAAAAAGAAAAAATAAATTAAATAAAAAATAAAACCAACTTTTACTTAAAACAAAAAACCATATTTACAAACTTTTGGTTTTGGTTAATAATCACATTATAAGCATCTACAACCCTACTTCAAAGCTTATTTTTACACTATTTTTGTTTTAACTAGTCTTCAAACCCCGCTTCATTTCGTGGACCAAATTTTATGTTATACTATTTGGTTACACCAAAACAATATAGTATAAATTTTATGTGTTATTTTGCTCCCACGAGTTTTATATTTATTCATTTTTGTTTATACAAGGTAACTAGGTACATTCTAAATATATATTATAACTATTAATTATAATTATGATATATAATTAATCAAAAATCTATAAAATCTACATTTATTCGTTTGTAGTTATAAAAGACGGCTGTATATATTCTAAACTAGTTTATAACTCGTGAAAACCATGGTTATAAAATTAATTAAACTTTTATAATAAAAATTTATAATTATTAATCAGTGATTTTAAATAAATTATTAATTAAGAAATATATCAAAATTTTAAAATTATTATAACTTCAAATTTAACATATAATTAGAAAATGTAAATTTGAATTTTGAAATAAGTTGCCTAATATATATACATAACACATGGCATAATATTAATGATGAGTTGTATTAGAATGACACTTGACAAAAAGAGATTAAAACTATTCATTTATTAGAATAGGGATCTTGTTATAATAAAATAACAACTAATGCAAATTAATAATATACAAATATCTTTAATTATAGTGTTGTCATACATTTTGTAAAGGTAGTAGAATGATATTTTGACAATCTATATAATTTTCTTTTAAATATAATATGAAATATAGTTTTGACGTAAAAAACGTTGTGTGATATATATATATATATATATATATATATATATATATATATATATATATATATATATATATATATATATATATATATATATATATAGGGTTAAAAATAAAATATTATTTACATCATTTTTATGCTATTCAGTTATATAAAAAAAAGTTGGATTATAGATGCTCTTAGTAGTTTATAACTTCATATGTGTATGCAGATGTGCAAGGCAATTGACAATCCTACCCTCGGAAACGATACGTTTGCAAAATTATATCATGCAGCTAACCTCTACTATAATTACACTGGAGATGTCAAATGTTTTGACCTTAATGACAATTCTGACCCCCATGATCTTGGAGGATGGCAATGGCAAGTAAGAAATATTTTCACTATTGTGAGAACATCATTTATAATATCATTAATGAAAAAAAAAAAATCATGTAGAAGGCCTCTTTTATGTTTATATTAATTTTTATAGTTTAAAAGAGATATTTGTTTGACTTTGAAAAGTCAAAACCAAGTGCTAATACGATTTAGGCCAGGCTTGCACAGAGATGATAATGCCAACAGGTGGAAGTAATGAAGACAGCATATTTCCAGTTTATACAGAGACTTACACGGGCCATTCTCGATACTGTGAAAAAACTTATAAGGTCCAACCCAGGCCTACTTGGATTACGACGGAATTTGGTGGCCATGTATGTATACATAGTTTCCTTCTAATTTCATATTTTTATATATACTATATTTTAATTTTCTTTTTTATAATTTAACGTATATATTTTGTTTGGCTCAATGTTACCTGTTTTTTGAAGAAATTTCTATCGTGACCACTACGTCCTTTATTATTAACCAACAGGATTTAAACTGACATGTGTGTATATATATTTCATATGTACTTCCTAAAATAGCATATAAGTTTCTGAAATGGGTTTCATTTATCTATGTGGTATGTGTATAATGTATCTAAGCCAGGAAATAAAAAGTCATTTCAGAAAATAAAATGCTATTTCATGTAGATATGATATTGTGTGCATAAACGAGAAGTTATATCACTTTTGTTAAAGAGGAAATATAGTCATATTAGTGGCCACGTACAGTGGAAATTTTTATAAAAAATGGTGGTTTTCATTGACTGAAATAAGATCTAGTGGTTAATAAGGTGTAGTGTTTCTTTTGGATTTTATAAAGATGACATTTGTTTCCAGCAAGAGATGAATATAATGATTTAGATAGTTAACTCAAATAATATTGTTATGGTGAGTGAATTGAATCTAATTTTCTTAGTGAAATTTCACATGAAACAGGATATTAGAAGAGTATTAAAACATTTTGGTAGTAATATCATATTTTTCAACGGTTTACGAGACCCTTGGAGCGGTGGCGGGTATTTCTCTTTTCTTCTTTAGATATCCCACTTTTGTGTTTGTGTGTAAGTATAAAAACCGAATGTTTGGTTTTGTATTTAAACAGGGTGCTAAAGAATATATCAAAAAGCATTATTGCCATAGTTGAGAAAGAAGGTATTTGAGTTTTATCATAATCATTCATGCTTACATATCTCATTATATGATGAAATCAACAAAAAAGAGCTTCTACAAAAGTGTCTTTAAGTTAAAGTTATCATAAGATACATATCCATGAAGAGAAATACATGAATGATAGATGCAACTAAATATGTTTATTTTATTTTGTAAAATTCACTATTTTGGCATGTTATCGCAGGGGCACATCATGTTGACCTAAGATTCGCAACCAATGAAGATCCCATGTGGCTTCGAGATGTAAGAAAGAGAGAAATTAGTATCATGCAAGCTTGGATTTCTGAATACCATCAAAATCTTGTTGATTCAGACACATTCTAGTAACATAGATACCATCCACCTCTTGTTTTTTAAAAAATTTATAACTTTGGCACTATCAATACAATAATTAACAATACCCACATATAATTTTTACTTTGTTGTTATTTTGTTTAATGTAACATTTTGTCATCATTTTCCGATTTTGACTCTATGTGGGCAATAGCGGACATGGTTCATTTCACGCGGATCGCTACTATGTGGGCAATAGCGGCGACGCAAGGCATTAGCGGCGACATGTGATGCGTCAATCACATGTCGCCGCTAATGCCTTGCGTCGCCGCTATTGCCCACATTTCTTGTAGTGTATATATATTCTAATGACCGACTTGTATTATAACATAATTAGGAAACTAGGAACCGACTTGAAAATAGTTTCCTAAAACTAGGTTGCCTAAATTGGGTTGCTTAATCCTCAAACTTAGGATTCCAACAATCACCTCTGAATTTCTAAGTCCTTCTAGAGACATCTTCAATCCCGATCAAGCTCCGCATTTCCTTGAACTTGGTTCGAGCTAATGGTTTGGTAAGAATGTCTGCCTTTTGTTCCTCCTCAGAAATGTACTCCACCTCCACTTGTTCATTTTCAACACAATTACGAATAAAGTGAAACCTCGTGTGAATATGTTTACTCCTTCCATGAAAAACGGGATTATTCGTTAGTTCAATAGCCGACTTGTTATCAACTCTAAGAACCACTTTCTCTTGCGCTTTGTTCATGATTTCTCTGAGCAAATCTTGAAGCCATATTGCTTGACATGGGTCGCCGTGGCCGCCATGAATTCCTCCTCGCAAGATAATTAAGCAACAATATCTTGCTTTTACGAACACCATGTAATTGGAGATGACCCGTAGTAGAAAATGTGTCCGGTTGTGCTTTTTCCGTCATCTGGGTCAACATTATGACTACTACCACTATAATCAATAAGTCAGTTTTGTCCCTTCCTCTAGTACTTGATTCTGTATCCCGTTGTTCGTTGTAAGTACCTTAGGATGTGTTTGATTGCACTACCATGTTATTCTCTTGGACTTTGCATGTATCGGCTAATAACTCCAACCACATATGTCATATCAGGTCTTGTTTGCAAGAGATATCTAAGGCATCCTACCACCTTTCGATATTGTTTCGGGTCAATTTTGGGTTGATCTTCATCCTTTGACAATTTATTTCCCAGTTCCATTGGAATGTGGGTCGAATTGCAATCATGTAAACCGACTTCTTTTAGAATGCGTTAAGCATATGCTTCTTGGTTTATAGTAATTCCCGATTCCTATTGCTTAACTTCAATGCCAAGGTAATAAGTGTTGGGATGAAAATCCTTGATGATCGATTAGATTCAAACAGGTAAGTAAAGAACACAAAGATGATCAAACAGATGCTGAATGATTAAAAGTCACGCCCCAGATGAACTCGATGAAGAATTTCAACTGCAGAGGCGTGTTACGGTTTACAAGATATATCTATTCTGAAAACGTTAACAAACTACGATGCATGCATGCACTATAAATACTTAAACCATAATTAATGAGACGGTTGGAGAGGCCCAATATCGTATACACAATGGACTAACTTAATAAGCCCAATGACGCAACACCTTATACCCTACAATCTCCCCCTTTGCGTCAATTAAGGCGAGAGAGGCTTCACTGCTGAGTCTTCTTAATTGTCTTGAATAGCTTGGGTATCACAGCGAGCAAAGTACTGCGAAATAAGATATACCACCGAATCATATCACTGAAGTTCTTCTTCGCAGCAACATCATTCACCCTGTGACTTTGACTATTGTTAACTTTTGAGCACTCCAGGTCATGTATTGAGGTTTTCCATAAGTGAGATAAAAGTCAATTAAGGCTTTATCCACTTTTGGATCTGGAGAGCGAACTGCAGCAATTGAATCAAAACAGTGAAAAACGAAAGCTCTTCGTGTTATTGGCATGTCAAACTGAGAATCCTTCGTGTTTTTCAGGTTGAAGGAAGTAACTGGCTCCAACCAGTGAACATTTGGGAATTCAACTGCCTCATGCAACAATCGTTCCAATGTCCACGATGGAAAGAACGTTTTTCTTCTTTCCAAAGTGTCATGAGCTTCTTTTTCTTTTCTTTCCTTCACCTCGGCTTCTCTCGCAATGCGAGCATTTTCGTTTAACTCATGATCACGAGCCTTTCGCTTTAGCTGATTTTCTTCGATTTCATCTTCTTCATCAGCGTCAACCATTGGATCTTTCCCTTTGGAACCTGAAGCTACATTACCCTTCGGTTCATTTGTGGTTTTAGGTGCTTCCCCCGTCTTAGTAGCTTTAACTTCTCCCCTTGTTTCGGAAAGACAGAGGCCTCAGAAACATCTTCAAGTCTGTTAAGATGAGCGAAGATAGGTCGGAGCTTATCGGCTAAGTGTCTGCGAACACTAATTGTCAGAAGGGAATCATGGGCTTCCAGGAGATTGGAGAGCAACGAATTAATATCTCCAACGCATGTTTTCATTACTGCTCGTTTAGACTTGAGCTCGACGATTTCTTTGTTCGCATGCTTGAGCTTGATGGATTGAGCTCTGAGTTGAGTGGTGCGAAGAGCAAGTTCGTCCATTATCTTGCTTTCAACAGCCAAATCATCTTGGAACTTAGTAAGCCTAGAAGAAACAGAAGTGTGAAAAGTTGTGTTATCGTTGGCGATCCCTGCATGAAGCTTTTCTAGTTTCTCTCGTTTAGAGCGAAACAAAATGTTGAGTTTGGAAATCGCATCATTCGCTTTGGAAGCATTTGATTAAGCCGCAGTGTGAATCTCTAAGATAAAGGTCTTGGTTTCGGAGATTAGTTTATCGACTTTTTCGGTCGCTTGTTGATGGGAAAGAGTGGAGTCCTCAACTGCTTTGTTTGCTTTTTCGAGATTGGTAGCATGTTGTTTTACAATAGCATCAAGCATACTTTTAACTGCTACTTCGGAATATGCTTGGTTGGAGGAGGCAGTAGAAGATGCGATAAGGGTATCCAGCTTGGCGTTCAGTTCTTTGAGATTCCTTTGAGTGAGAGGGGCATCATCATCACTGTCGTCTTGAATCGAGAATGGAATATAGTGAAATGTATCAAAGTCAAGTCCCTCAGCGCGAAGAAAGTCGTCAGACCCCTGTTTAGGTTGAGGTGAAATAGGAGGAGTGGTAGAAGTAGTTGCAAAACCTGAAGTCTTTGTCCCCGCATCAGATGCCTTGACATTAATAGGAGGTTCGTTGGTGGTGGTAGTTGTAGTGGTTTCAGTGAAAATGGGTGGTTGTTGACGAAGAGAAGTAGGTGGTTTAGAAGTAACAGGAGGTGGACAAGGTGCAATTGTAATTGGAACAGATGTGGAAGTAGGTGATGGTGGAGGGGATGGAACATTAAAATTTACCTCCTGGTCATTGCGGTTGACATCATCCTCAGATTCGTGTCGATTTTCGTCATCCTATTCGCTTACAGAGGAAGTAGAGGAAGGAATGTGAACCTTACGAGCTTGTTTCTTGACTCTCTTGAGCTTTGGAGAGGAAGGAGCAGGCTTTGACGAATCGCCTTTTGACTTTCGCTTTTTGGAAGACAGAGGTAGAGTAGAAGGACCCTATTTCGATTGCTTTGGTTTCCCCCCCCCCCTTCTTGATTTTATCATCTTCATCCAGAGAAAGTTACAGCTCAGGAGTGATGACTCTGGGTCCTGAGGTTGGGCGCTTCTTGTATTCTCCAATGAGTTTGCTTTCCCCCGACACACATCTGTACATAGATTCAAGAATTGAACCCACAAAGGAAAACTTGGAGTTGTCAGCAACGATGATCTTTGTAGTGTGAAAGATAGCAATCGAAGACATCAATAAATCTGCCATTACTGGAATGTTGAGCTTCGCGATAGCACGCTGTACCACTATAGTCCAAAAGCGACCCATAGAAATCTCACTGTGGCGAGTAGTGGAGGTTGTGCTTTGCACCAGTTGAGACCACAAAACTGTACCATAGTTGAGGTTGATCTGATGGTATAGGCCATAGAGAATTGTCATGAAGGACTTACTTGCACAATCTGAACTAGTTACCCTTTCATAAAAAGCCTTGAAGAGAAGGGTAAAGAGACCATTCCACAGTGGAGGAAGGTTAGACTTCTTGAACTTGGTAATGGAGGGAATGGGATCTATGTAACCCATCTGATAGAACATATCGAAGATTTGAGCAGTGGAGATCGAATCAGGGTTAACCATGGAATCATCATGAGCAAGCCCTAGAAGAGAGCAAAATCGAGCCTTTGTGAGGGAAGTATTTTTGTCAAGCACTTAAAATGCAATCCGTTCCTCTTATTTGACGTAGGCGGCTGTAGAATAAGCTTTGGAAATTAGCGACACCGGAAAATGTTCTACCTTGGTTAAAGCGATGACCAGAGGTGAGTACTTCAAGCATTCTACGATCGGCAGCATGAAGGCATCGTATTTGAACGGAGCCAAGTCGAGAATCAAGTTTTGATTCTGTTTGATGGTGAGGAGAGATGATTGTGCAGTCTGTTCTTAAATGGAGGAAGAGTCTGCCATTGATGCAGATCGGAGAAGAAGATGAGCTGTTGAGAGAAAAATCGCCTTTTAGGGTTCGTAATTTCTTTTGAGAGTGGTAAAGCTTTAATCGTTGATGGAAAGCTCTATTTATAGTGAAAAAGAGAAACCAAGCGACGATTGCGTGACGATCCCCAATTTGACGCCTAGGAAAGCGGGATTTGACAACTGTAGCGGCTGACAGGTTGTCATCATGACATCAGGCGGCGTGAGAATTGAAACCGTTTAAAATTCCATGCGCCTTTTATTTCAAAATCTTATCTCCAATTGCTACGTCAACAACATTTATCCCAACATTGCAAATTCCTTGATTTCGTTGAAATGTATAATCACCTTTCGCTTTTGAGAAACAAGCATCAAAAGTGCATAGAAAAGCGAATCTGCAAAACTGAAAAATGCCATAAGTGTTACAAACTAGACTTTTGGAAAATCATAAAGATATTCGTGCAAGAGTGTGCCAAAGAGAAGGAAATAAAACAAATTATAAGAGTGGGATAAAAGTGATGTCAATAAAGACATGAAACTGCGGATCCCG